CAATTGGGAATAAATTTTTGAAATTGAACTGCTTGTCTTTCAAACTGAAAATCTCAGGTTGATATTTTGAAACATACATTTGTGACATCAGTCTAGGATGTTATTGGTTTTTTCCATTTAGTTAAGTACTACAAAAGTCAGTGTGTCTGCTTCTTCGCTGATGACATTGGACAAAGATATGCATGCTTACTTTAATATCATCACTGAAGGCATTTTTTGTTATTCTACACTGTACAGTCAAATTCCATGAAAGCATGCTAACCGCTTTTCAGTACTTTCAGTACTTTGATTTTTTAGAAAGTTTATTACCGAAATATGATAATCAGTTTTTTAACCACGTTTAACAAACATGTTGACCAATATACACCGATTTGCACAGAACTTATTAAACCACAAATGAACACACACAATTGGGTTACCCTTTCTCTCTAACTCCGTTGCAAGGGGATAAAAAAAAACCTCTTCCTTCGTACATGTGTGATAGGAGGATTTATTTCTTATATTAAAAGGACACAATGAGTCAAAATCATGTCTTTCTTTTAAGATATCTGTAGCATACAGAGAAAAACATGAAAATTATGAGAATGACAATTAAACTGCAAGAAAAAAATGCACGATATACAAACAGAGGTTGTATCTACCGTTTCGTTGCATTCGTGTTTGTCAAGGTTACGCCACTTTCATTTTTAGCTCAACTTGTAAACTACATTCAACTGGAGCATGCAAAGGTGAGAAATATGTTCTAACGACGTTTTTAAAAGATTTTTCCCGTTGCCATGACAACAATATCACCAAAGAAATTTTGCTTTTCCTGTTTTTGGAGAATAAGGCAATCCAATATTTCAACAAATAAAGTAATCAAAATATCTTAACTTATCACGTTCAGAGAACACATACATGGAAAATGGCTAAAAATCATTTTTTTTCATAAGTATTTATGAAACTGTTGCTAAGGCAATGGATTTCCTTGCATACCAGTCCCTTAACACCTCTAAAATATTTTTAATTGTGCTTAAACATTAGGTAGTACAACATCTTTTTATATACCAAAGGCTTTTGAAAAAATAAAATTTTGACTTTCCATTCAATGTTCGATGCTTGCTGATTTAACTCTTGATATTGAAATTTGGAGCTGTATATGTATTAAAAAACAGAAAAATCATTTAAATATTTCTTGATTATTCAACTGATCATATCTTGCTTAGGAGCTTTCAAAAATGAGTTCTGCTTTTTGAAATAAATTGGGTACATCCCACTAATTATTTTTAGAATCGGTAGGAGAAGAAAGTAGTGCAGAAAAAATTACAAGTTCCTTAATTTGCAGACTTGCATAAAAAAAATTGGGCAGATGTACTAAACTGAGCCTCACACTTGTTGATAAGGAGTATCTTTCCTACCAATAAAGCTTGGAAAATGTAATTTATCAAGAAGATCAGCCGAATTATTTTGTGTATTATAACGCCAGTTAGAATTCTGAAATTCCCCTACTTTCACTTTAATTTTTAGAAGTTCCCGCAGACAGACGCATTTTGCCGGAAAACGAATCTGACATGCCAGCTCGAGATTTTAACCAAGGAAAGACCAGTTGATGTGCTTTGATTTGAGGGGTCACTCACTTCTAAACGAAAATTAAGGACATCGCTATGAGAAGAAACGTTAACATTGTCGCCTATGGAAAAACAATTAGTGGACTGTACCCAACTAGTAGATTTCCTTAAATCGGTACATCCTTTAAATACTCAAACATTGATTTTTAAAATTTGAATGGTAGAAATATTATATAGTTAGAAAAAATTAGTTCAGAAACAGTGTATAGGGAAATATTTCATCAAAGTCAAATATATCTCTTATACATAAATGATTATAAAAAGTGTCTGATGTTTTTAAAACTAAAGACAGTTTTTATCTAAATATAAAATATGAATGCTTTAAGCCATTGGTTTTCCTGAACATATTTTGTTCATTGATGCGTTTGACTATTTATATTGAATTTGAGATCAACTTCATCTAAGGAGGAAAATATCACTTAACGAGGCCCAATCTAATTGAAAATTACAAAAGCAGAATGACAAGAACTTTAAATCTTAGAAACATTTTTGTATGTATTATGTTAAGAAAAATTAAAATAAAATTTTGTTACCTTGCCTTTATTGTAGTTAAATAGGGCACTTTCAAGGTATGGATCATTTTTCGTGTATATATTTATACATAATTACATACTAAAACTCCCCAATAAACAAAGTAATTGACAATTTTGATATTTTTTTGTTTTTCACATACATCATGCGATGTTCATTCCTCTTTAAAAATTGAAAAGGAAATTGGAGGAAGACTTCAGTGCAGTAAAAAGGGAACCTATCAAAACACAAAAATAGGACTTAATTTATCCAACTAGATATTTTTATTAGTCTCATGGGGTTCGAATAATTATAACACCGTATTAGTTTCTAAAAATTAAATAATTCTTACAATAAGAAATATTTCTCTCTCCATGCTTTATTTTTTTTCTTAACACACGACTTTGTTTTACGTGGAAAAAAAAGGGGGGGGGAAAGGGGACAAAATTACGGATTTTACTATCATGTATTATATAGAAAAATAAGATATTTTGGTGGTTGCATTTGAATGATTCAGAAACTTACATGTATTTTTGAAATCAAGCTAATCCATGCATATTTAAGTCCTCAGTAAAAAGGGGTGTGTATAAAGTCTTTAATATGTTGATGAGAAAGACTAAACTCGTTTACATTTGGTTGCAGTGTTTGCTTGCTTTTTCTAACTCACTAATTGAAATAATACAAGATAAAATGAATGAATCTGTACCACGAAGTGGATACCTCAAAGTAAATTATGTTCTACAGTTGATTAATAATTTAAAAAAATTAAAACATGTAAATGGTAGAAATGCCAGAAAAAGTCAGCTTTCAACATGCACAGTCTATAGAGCTACCAGGTAAGCAAGATCAGCGAAACATTTTAACGCCATTTGACGTCATTTTAATTATGACGTTATTTTTTTGAATTGTGACGGCAATCAAGGGCACTGTGACGTGCCTGAATCGACGCTGTGTTAAAACCTGTGCGCAGATCAAGTAGATCGGGCCTCGTTATTTGTACGTCGACTCGCGTAAACAATGTAAAGCAATGACATAAGGAAAGGAGAACATGGAATTCAGAGGAGTCCGTGTTTTATACACTTTTCTAATGTTTGTAATGTTTTTAGATATTTTTGGATCGAATATACACTTCATTTATTTTATTTAGAATTTCTTTCGTTTTAAAAACCCACTACTCATTCATTGTTATCTTTGTATGAAATGACATGCAATATTAATGATATGGCTTTTTGAATAAACAAGATGATAGGAATTCATAGAATAACTTTGTTTAGGATTGCGGTGGCATCAAATATTTGAATCATTATCACTTATTCAAAGTTGAAGGATACGGATTCACACTGAATAATCATTTAGAGAATAATGTTGATGTCCCGTGTTTTATCTAAGCCTATTTTCATATTTTGGATATTATCCGTCAATATATTTTTCTGTTCTGGCAGCCTTGAGATAAGTTATTCCAAACTGCAATATGGATATAGATTAGATAGAAGGATGATCACTTCCTTCGTAGATTTCAGTATTTTAAACTGTGTGGAAGAATGCCTCAAAAGAAAGAGGTGCAAGTCAATAAGTTATTACAAAGGGGCTAATTATTGTGAAATTAACTATGAGAGCAGGAATACAGCGTCATTTATGTATGTGCAAGGTTCTGGTTGGATTTACAGCGACATAGAGGATTGGAACAAAGTAAGCTATCTGTAACTATGAGAGATAATGTGTGTATATTAGTATATTATATGTCTAAAGACTTCAGGATAGTTTTTAAGAAGTTTTCCTCAGAGCTAAACAAAATTTTAACTCTGTTCGCCTCTCTGCTCTGACGGAAATGATCATTTTTTGTCATCTTAATCAGATTTCTCTACTATGAATAAAAATGATATGATCTCCTTGTTTCCGATTTAAATTCTAGTAGAACTTCATTGAATGAATTTAGAAAGTAAAGGATGCATGCATATGTATATATAATCCAAACTTTTCTTACATTTACTACTTGTTCACCGAAACTTAGTACGTAGTACATAGTTATTGATTTTTATTACATGATTTTGGGTCTGCATCAGTTAACCTTACCATCGACTCATTAATATTAAAAAAGAAAAAAAAGAGTAACTCCTAAATATTTCTTAATTTTATCTATTATTAGTGTTTTCAAAAGGTAAACGCTACTTTACAAAAAAATATTGTCTTATTTATTAAGATTTCTTACAGAACACAAACAATTCAACAACTTTTTCCCACACATATAACATAAACTAGGAAAATATTTTTTTTTCAGGAATAATGACGTTTTATTTATTGATTTATTTATCTTTAATGTTGCTGATGCTTTTCATATACTGTGTGCGGGATTGTATTTGCTCTGTGTAATTTTCGCACATTAACTATTGCAAATAATTTTGTCCACTTTCAAATTCGCCCAATCACAGTTCTATTTAAGAAATTATACTCTAATTTTTCAAGTCGCCCATTTTAAATTCGCCCACCTGTAAGTAGGACGATTAAGTTCAAGTTAATCTATTCACTCAAAAAAATTTAAAAAAACATGGTACATAAGGACAGTGAAAAATATTTACAGCCTATATATTCAGGTCAGAGGTATACGTATATGATATAGATAATCATAAAATGAAATTGGAGAAAAAGAAAAAAAAACACGTGATGCATCTAATAATATCAATAATGAAATAAATGAGGAGAAAATCATGGAGGACAGACTAAATCATATAATTTTAATATAAACATGCAGAGTTTTTTTAGGGTCTTAGCTGAAAGGGGCGAAAATTTCCCTTTATACATGGTTTGTTTTAATAGAAAGATTAACTACATTTAGTTATGGACAAAGCGATAATTAATGAAATTGTGAGTATGATATAGATAGACAAAGTGTTTCTGCTTTTATATTTAGGAACTCATTGGACCTTGCTCGAAGGCAAACTGTAATGACAACCAAACATGTCAGCAGCTTCCGTTCGGGGAATTTAAGTGCATTTTGTCAGGTAAGAGCTTAAAAATTCTCTTTCTCTTTACCAATGTGGCTAGCTGCATGTACATGTGTATATAAATGTTTATCTAGGACTTTTATTGTGACTGTGTAAGAAAATGTAGAATGTGTTTGTTTCTTGAGCTAATTCGAATAATATCCTGGTTTAATCAAGGACTTACGGGGATTTACCCCGAGTTTTATTCGACCGAAAGCCGAAATACAACCCGGGTTAAATACCCATACATCCTTAATTGTACGTAGATAAGGAATTTATTTCCTTTTTTCCATAAATATCCTTTGTAAACAGCAGTCTTATCAAATGTGTCTCAATATATCGATAAGATAACTACGTATTGTACTTCAATGCATCGTGAGGTCATGTTATTTGGTTTTTATCATAGAGAGAGTATGCATTGTGACGTCATGCTTTATGTACCCCGGCTTAAATTGGTGCATGGAAATTTTCATTTGACTATGCAACACACAGTGATATGATACTTTTTATCAAATGTTTTAACTAGGATATTGCCATAACAGAACAACACAAAAACATTTTTTTTCATAAGTATATAAAATTTCTGCTTGCTCAAATATTTGAAATTGTTCATTGATAAAAGGCACGCATCTGCGAGAGATATGTTGAAATAGCTAGACATCTATAAAATAAATGAAGCAGTTTTTTAATTTGTTTTCTTAAATTGACAATAAAATTAAATTTCAAATAAAAGTACAAGTATTAGCTTATGCTATTTCTAATTACAAAGACTGTGGAGTTCCTAGGAGTGAAAATGTAACCCTTGACGCCGTAAAAAGGTGGGATGGAATTGGAATCCAAAGGAGAATACATATAAAATGTGCAGAAAACTATAAACAAACTGGGTCACAGCAGTTCATATGCCAATCAAACGGAAAATGGAGGACTGATTTAATCTGCGAAAAAGGTACGTTGATTTACTAATGCTGACTGACGTTTTTTTTTTTTTAAATTTCATTATTTCAACTCCGAATTGTCCACAGGTTTTTATGTTATTTCCCGATCATGACAAGGGACATACGGCGGTTCAGCTGGAGTTGGTTACCTGCAGCCGATCCCATCTCTATTTTTTAGAGATCCGTGTTTGCACTGCTCCTGATTTATATTATTTGAATGAACTTTTGAACTCAAATACTGTTCCTTATCTCTAAATATATAATGTATTCATATCTATATTCTCAATAAACGAAAAAAGGATATCAATTCATTCATTCGTTGCATAGTTCCTGTCTTACAATACATCTGTTTGTTCAGCGTGCAAAAATAAGAGTTCTGTCATATGAATGTAAAATCACTGTTTTTATAGTATATTCTGTTTAATTATTTAAATTCTTTGGGACAAATGTTCATGGTCATCAACATTTTACGTGTTTGTGTATACGTAACTTTGGGGGTTACAAAATAGGCATAAGGAATATACATAAAAGTCGTTTTTTTTTTCACAGGCTTAAATACAAGAAAAGGAAACGCATTCCGATTGACAATATAAATCTCGGTCATGATCAATGATCGTAATATCAAATTTAATTAGCTTCATTTGTAAACATTTCATTTATTTCACTAATTGATTATTTGTATTGTTTCTATTTCAGGCTGTGATAAGGGTTGGAGTGAATTCGAAAATCATTGTTACTATAAATACGAAACAAGTGTTACATGGCAAGAAGCCAAGGTATGTAAACAAATAACAGAAACTACAATAAGGTTACGGTATTTAAAAGAAAACACGATTTTAGACAAAACACTTACCCAAAAAGGAGAAATGTTTTGTTTTTAAATACCTATATCCTCAGTTAATTTTCCTTCCAAGATCAATTTGATGTAGAAAATAACTCAAAAATTATTTACCTAATCTTTTTTTTCATTCTGTATAATTCAAATCAATGACAAATCATATTTAGTTATAGTACAAACATTTTTGTGAAAGTTATATACGCCAAAAATTGTATTTAAAGACAATATTAAGGTATCCTATCAACTTGATATCTGACATGGAACAATTCTTTGAATAAACATCAAGGTACAGTTTTTACAAAGAAAATGCAACTAATGAACAAGTGTTAAAAGATAATGAAAACAGACATAGTAAATGCATTGGATTCTTTTCTTTTTTTTGAGTAAGTTTAAGCTGATGCGACAATCAATTAATTTCACATGTTTTACAAAGTTTAATGAAACTTCCTTGAAATTTTCATAGTTTTTTAATCTCAAAATTTTATGTTCGGATAAACTTTATATTGTATAAGATCTCAGCTTTTAGCTCTCAAACTTGAGAACTTTAAAGGCTTTTTATTCATATTTGTACGATTCATTTTACTATAAACAGCTATGATTAAATGATTGCTAAAACATTACAGGAAAAATGTGAAAAGAAAAATGCTTATCTGGTAGAAGTGAACGAAAAAAAGGAAAATGATTTTCTTCAAAAGACCTTCTTACAGATCATTGAAAGTAGTAAGTTTTATACTGTAAAGCACGGTAATACTTTTTCATATAGCAAAGTTTCTGGATCCTTTGAATTTAACATGCTAGATCCGTAATAATACCCCCGCTCTGAAGGTGAGGTGGGTATACTGTTTTACCATTGTATGTCTCTGAGGATGTGTTTGTGTGAGTGTGTGTGTGTCTGTCTGTCTGTAACAGATTTCTGGACGCAGTTTTCTCATCAACTACTCATTGCAGATGCTTGAAATTTTAGTACAATCTTTGTTAAGGCATGCCATGAGGTAGGATAAATTTCTGTACGAATTTAATATTATCTTCCTATTTATCCTTACATCTGTCTGTTCCCCGCATAACACATTTTCGTCGCAATTTTCTCAGCAACAACTCATCACAGATGCTGGAGATTTTAGCACACCCATCACTGAAGCATGTCATATTGTGTGAATTATTTGTCTTAAAGTCAGAATCTGATGCCAACTTCCTGTTTATCACAGGGTCTGTCCGAACCATACAAATTTTTATCACAGTTTTTCAGTCACTGCTCAACGTAGATGCTTGAAATTTAAGCACATTCTTTTTTAGGCATGCCAGATGGTGGGATTCATTTTTTGTACAAATTTGTACAAATTCGATGGCAACGTCCTGTTTTTCCGCACGCTCGTCTGTCTGTAACTGAACTTGTGTATATTTACATGTTAGTGTATATTCACAACAAAGCGGGGTATAACTAGTTAGCATTGGCTCACAGATATCGAATTCTTGTTCCGTTTATCCATGCAACGAATAAGCATAATTATATATAGCTAATTTGCAATTCGACATGCATGTTTTTCATCAAGTATTACTAGGATATTTTAGTAAAGAAACAAAATATACTTTGGATAAGAAAGGTTTTATTATCAATTGAATTTTCTATATAAATAATTAAGGAAATAAAGTCAGTTCTATTATCAATTTTTGGGGTCTTTAAAAGTTCGTTATTGAAGATTTAAATTTGAATTTTTTCCCTTTAAGAAACTCAAAATCAGTTCGCTGTATCGATATTCATGATTCGTTATAACCATTACTTTTTGCAAGGAGTTGTTGAGAATTAATCCGGGGAATCCGACTATTTTCGTTTTTTCCGTGAATACGCTATATACATGTTCGTTCTGAACGTGTTTAGTAAATTGATAGAATTGTTAGCTTAATTGATATTCTTATAAATATTTATGCTGTTTTCTTGCATACATACATTTGTATTTACATGTACAATAGGTATAATTTATTTGTTTTTTTAATATCTTAAAGATACATATTTAAAGAAATAAAATTGAATAATAAAAAAATAAATAATATCAGGATTTTCTAAGTTTGTGATTGAAACACGATAACTAGTATTGCTGTTATTTTTTTCATTTCCCTAACGTGCTATACAGTTAAAAAATCATAACCTTGTGTAGCAATTATAAAAAGTACATGTACCAGTATACTTGTAAGAAATGTAATTCATTTTCCAAAAAAGTGTAAGCATGATACTTTTACTACGCTTCAATGATTTTGACGAATTACGATGAATTCTTTACTGGTTTGAAATTCCAGGTGCCTGTAGTGGAGATAACACCTGTCCTGCGTGGATCGGAGCTAATGACATCGATACAGAGGGTGAATTTATCTGGAGTAGATCGAAAGAAAAAGTTGAGTTTTCAAACTGGCATCGTAATGAGCCTAACAACCTGTTCAACCAGGACTGTATTGTACTGCTTCATACTGGCCAGTGGGATGATGAACGATGCTCCAAAAAAATACCATTTATTTGTGAAAAACAGTTGTAGACTTCTCAGCACAAAGACTTTATTTTTTTTAATATATGAATTACGAGTAAAATCAATGCTTTGATGCATTGCAATAGTTTATAAAACGGTGTACGTTTTAGTTAGACACATCTGACTCGGAG